GGGTTTATCTCGCTTCTGTGATGCTCATACGCAATAGCAGTACAGCTCAAGGAGTCTCAGAGTATGTCATTTGATGAGGCGAAAATTTCCTGACAAGTACTCTTTGTCTGATTGACGCCCACATTAAGTCTCGGATGCTCGGGGAAAAATGATAATATCTAGGCCTGTTGGTTTCGTGTTTTTGCGTCTGATGGGTCAGGTCCGCCGGCCGTCCGGCAGTCCTTCCGGTCAAGTGAGAGCGACTCCCAAACCCCCTCATACATGAGGGGTGGTTTGGGGAGTTGACTCCCAAACAAAAATATAAAAATAAAAATAAAAAATGAAAATGAAATTGGGCGGACGACTCCCAGAATCCGCCCACACTTTAGAAGACAACTCCCAACGGACGTCCGCTGACGGTCGTTGGGAGTTGTTGGCGAAAAAACAGGAGTTGTTTTTCCGAGTCCCTTCATATATTTTATTGTTCAAATTTTTAAAGGCTTAGAAATTTGCCTCCTTATGATAAACAGAACCAAAAATTTTTGAGAAACAATAAAAAAAATTAGATAAGACATGAAAAGATTTTGAGAAAAAGGATATAAAAGATAACTGTGTTGAAAGAATAGATATAATAGAAGGTAACCAACCTACCATGATGAGATATAAATTCCATTGTAAGCAGTATTGACAGACTGAAATAAATGAGATCAAACAACAAACACACTGAAGATTTTTTATAAAAAAAATATAAAAGAGTAAAGAGACAATGATGAGTTTTTGATCATGATAATTTGAGAAAAATAGAAGGTCAATTAGGTTAGCCTTTGTCACCAAATTGGCAAAAGCCAAGTGAGAAAGTTGAGAGAGTAGTTTGGAATAGAGATGGTCGCGTTGCATCCGGATATCCGCGCGGATGCGGATATCCGGTTGCTTTTTCCGGGGAAAGCGGCATCCGCACCCGCATCCGCATCCCCTGGCGGATATCCCCCCGCCTTAGCGGGTATCCGAGCGGGTATCCTCGGATACCCGCCCTTTAAAAGGCCGGCAAGGGACCGGCTGGAAGGAAACCCTTCCAGCCGGCGAGGTACATGTACCTCGTCGGCCGGAAGACATATTGACCCTGACATAAATACTTAGCTTTGACTACAGAACACAGGATACGGTCCTTTTCCTCAGAAGCTTCATCATTGTCAATCATGAACTTCATCAACCTAACCTCAACCTTCAGCCTCCCTGCTCAAACTCTACCCAAAACTTCAACCAACATTCCTTCCCTTTAGAGATGGTACTTGGCACCCATCACAACTTCTGTCCAGGGCACTTTCAAGTTTGGCGGGTGCCAATTAGTGCCATCTCTACTCCCTAATCTTATCAAAACCTCATATACTCTCATTGAACTTCACCTCCTCATTGTTCCAAACTAGAGATGGTCGCGGGGTATCCGTTGCGGATACCCGCTATCCCCTGGCGATACCCGCCAGCGCCAGCGGATACCCGCCAGGGGATACGGATTGGGGTTCGGATGTGCCCTTTTCCCAGAAATTTGGGCGGGTATCCGGGTATCCCAAAGGATACCCAAGGCCAGAAGGGGGGATGTCCGGCTGGAAGGAAATCCTTCCAGCCGGCGAGGTACATGTACCCCGTCGGCCGGAAGAAACCCCTTCCGGTCGACGAGGTACCTCGTCGACTGGGAGGAAATCCTTCCAGCCGGCGAGGTACATGTACCTCGTCGGCCGGAAGAAACCCCTTACCTCGTCGACTGGAAGGATTTCCTTCCAGTCGACGAGGTACCTGGTCCTCGGGGGGGGGTTTGATAGGGTTGACGGGGGACATGTACCATGCTGGCTGGGGGGATTTTTTTATAGTGAATTCTCACCACCGTGGCGATGAGGGAGAGGTGACGGCCTACCGGCCGTCCGTATAGATCCTCGCTGGCGGGTATCCGCCAGGGGATAGCGGGTATCCGCAACGGATACCCTGCGACCTTCCCTAGTTTTCAGTTTTGAGGAGGTGAAGTTCAATGAGAGTATATGAGGTTTTGATAAGATTAGGGAGTAGAGATGGCACTAATTGGCACCTGCCAAACTTTCAGAAGGTGCCCTGGACAGAAGTTGTGATGGGTGCCAAGTACCATCTATAAAGATGTTGGTTGAAGTTTTGAGTAGAGTTTGAGCAGGGAGGCTGAAGGTTGAGGTTAGGTTGATGAAGTTCAAGATTGACAATGATGAAGCTTCTGAGGAAAAGGACCGTATCCTGTGTTCTGTAGTCAAAGCTAAGTATTTATGTCAGGGTCAATATGGGTTTAGTTGCGGTTGTGATCCAGGGTTGAAATGGTTTGATGAGCTGATTGAGAGTGGTCCAGTTGTGGTTGTTGAAGATGAGAGGTAGAGGAGTAGCAAGGAGAAAGGAGTTTTAGAAATAGTGAAATACAGGATGTAGAGAGAAAGACTAGAGTATGAGAAAGAGAAAGAGGAAAAGAAGGAGAGAAGGAGCAGAGAGCATCAAAAATCCAACTCCTGGTTCCTAGCCCCCAATTCCCTAATGGATGGCTGGACCAAGGAGTAGGCCATCCAATTTTTCCTCCCCTTGGGGGGCCTATAAACCTCAAATAGGTACAGAAGAAAGTGATATGGCCCTCAAGCCAATTTTTTTTCTACTGCAATTGGTTGTATGGACCTTCAATGTCAGTAAAAGCTTATTGGTTGGAGTTGTGGTGTGCATGAGGGTTTGTGCAACCTTCCAATGTTGGAAGATTCACACAGGATGGGGTCAATCAGCCAGGCCCCATTGAGTCTGTATGCATATAGCTTGATATAGGGGCCCTGGTGGTTGTGGTTCCGGGACTTGTGGGCCCAGCTATGAGGTACAGCTACCTCATCAACTAGGAGAAATTCCCTCTGGTCAAATGGGAAATGTACTTTTGCTAATCGAAATATGAACTGAAGCTCAATCCTACAGCTATTTTGTGGAAAAGGTGGTCCAAGTCCACATGTTTTGTTTTCCCTCCTTGAAATCTTTCTTTGTTGCTAAACATTATGCTTGGAATGACTGTAGCAATAGAAAGCCCAACAGTTTGTTTGGCCTATCTCAACCAAGTCCCTGCCCCGCTTTGTTGGAGTGCAGGTAAAACTCACCTGTCAGATTGTGATGACCAGAGAGAGGGGGTTTTATGTCTCAAGTCAATTGTGCGGCCTGGGAGAGAGTTGGGATTTCCGGCTGGGAGTGTTCAATCATTCTCCTGCAAATTTGGTGGATTGTTTTTTCTTTTTGCTCTATAGAGTCTTAATCTTTTGGGATCTAATTTTGAGCTATCCCAATCTACATACTAAAGTGTAAAAACATTTGCTTGATCAATAATAATGAGAGTAACATTGTCAATTCCAGATACAGTGCAATACCCCAGATGGAGCAGGATAATGGAAGTGACAGAAAAAAAGTGGCAAGTTGAGTGCCACCCAAGGGGCTAAAAAACTCAAAAAAAAAAAAAAACACAGAATGATCCTTCTCCATCATCTTGCGCATCTTTTGCTTCCCCCAAAAAAATGTAATGATCAGCTGAAACAATGGTGCTTCTACAAAGCATTGAAAAAGGTGGATTTCCAAATTCTCCCAGGCCACAAGGTTAACTTGGGCCTCATTTGGCCATCCATGATGGCACAGCTGAAGACGGGGCCTCACAATGGTGTTTGGGAGGCCACGTCAAGACAACGGTCTATTACAATCATGGACGGCCAAACAAGGCCCAATTGGTGAAGAAGTCTCTCCTTCTCAGGCCAATTAAAGGGACTTGCTTTAGCTCGACTTTGAATGTGACAGGTGTTGATGCCAGAAACACATCCCTGCTTTATGTATGTGCTACCACCCTGGCTGGTGGGGCACATGTGTAATACAAACAGTTGGGGTCTGCACAAAAGAACCAACCATGCATCCTATCACTAACTTAATGACAACCCTTGCCTCAAGCCAGACACCCATCCTATAAATAGATCAATCGCATCTGTTCTACAAGGCACGAGCATGACACCTCATACCAACGCGATCTCACAAAACAGACTCTCCAGATTAGAAATGTGAAGAATCACAGCACCAACTTGAATCTAGGACCGGTCCAGATAACTCACAACTCCACAAGAGAGAAATCAAAGAATAGGCATAGACTGTTTATTTGATTTTGATTGATTGCATGTGCATAGAAAGTCGTTGTACGAGACTCAATCAATAGGGTAATAATGAATCCCCATGAAGAGAGAGAGAAGGGAAAAGTTACGGATCATTAACAGCAACAGCGAATTAAGATCGGATTCTAATAAAATTAAAAAAAAAAAAATGATTGATAAGTTATTCAGTGGCCCAAGGAACAAAGTCCAGTAAAAACGGGGCATGTGAGGGAGAAAGGACTGACTTGAGTTGGCCCATGAAGGCTGATTTCTCGGCAGCAGTTTGGAATCTACCGTGTCCGAATTTGGACGAAGTATCGATAAACTTGAGGTTGATTTTCTCCAAGTCACGACGAGAGGTGTGAGTCATGAGCGATTTTCGGAGGGTGATGACACGCTTCTTGACTCCGGGTACGGATCCCTGAAAACAGTGGTGGGTTTGGTCGGTTAGAATCAGCTTTCCCAAGCAGAAACATCAAGAGCGGGGATAAAGATGATCACTGACCTTGAGCATCAGGAAGTCGTTCTTCACCACACCATAACGGACGAATCCACCCATGGGTGTGATAGCCTTGGTGGTGGTATCAAACTCGGTGGTAGCATTGGCCTCATCGCCACCCTTACCGACACGGAAGACCTTCTTGTTGAGTCTGAATAGACAAATAAAGTGATGAGTGAATGGCAAGATTAAGAAGTGGAAGGAAGAGAGAGAAGAGGACTAACTCGGTTCGGTGATGGTAGCCGTCTTGACCGGCACGGGCGACGGTGAACATGACCTTGGAAGGATGCCAGGCACCGATACAGGCGACTTTTCGCAATCCCTTGTGGGTCTTTCGGGGCAGTTTCTTGCAACCCCATCGGTGAGTGACACCCTCGTACCCTTTACCCTTGGTGACGGCAATGACATCGATGTTCTCGTTCTGTTCAAAGACCGAGGAGACGTCGAAAGTCTTCTCAAAGTGCGACTTGGCAAAGTCCACCTTGTCGGCAACACTTCCACCGTTCACTTGGATCTCCATCAGATGCGCCTTCTTTTGTTTCAGGCCAGTCTTTCGGATCTGGGTGTGGGCCAAGACTCGGACCACAGTGCAGTACTTGCGAATTCGTTCCAGTTCTCGAGCAATAGAGCCAGTAGAAGATTCGGCATGCTTCTTGGCGTACTTGGTGAACGCTTTCTTCTTCGATCGGTACCAGTTCTGCGAAGGGCAAGGGAGACCAAAGCAGTGTTAACGCGATGTGATGAGGGGTGGAATACTCAAGAATCCTGACCTTGTAGAAGCGACGTTTGACCTCGTCGGAGAGATGCTCGGCCCAGACGGTGGTAAGCGATCTGAGACCACGAGGAGTTTCGACGTAACCGACGACACCGACGATGACCATAGGAGGGGTCTCGACGATGGTGACAGCTTCGACGACTTCTCGCTTGTGCATCTTGGACCCAGGTCGGTCGAGATCACGAAGCTGAGGAGAGGGAGAGATTGAAAGGTGAGTTTGTGGGAAGGTCGGCCAGAGAGTGTTGAGGGACTTACAATGTGGGTCATACCAGCCTTGTAGCCAAGCATGGCGGTGAGATGGACGGGCTTGGTCTTGTCATCCACAGGGAAGGATTTAACTTTTCCGCGGTGTCGGGCAGCCTATTGAGTATCAATCAGAGAAGAACAAGGTGGGCCGGAGTGATGAAGTCAGATATGGTGCTCTTGAGTGAGTGATGCGCATACTCTCACTAGGAGACAGAGGCGCATACCCTTTTCCTTGGCAAGAATCCGGTAGAACCGTGTCCTGTTGAGCATCAATTGAACTTGTCAGTCTGGAAAGTCTCATTGTTAGAAGCAAAACATGTTGGCTAGGGAGGAGAAAGACATACGAGGGTGTTCCCATTTCCGGTGAGACATCTTGAAGTAGGGCGATCGGGTCCTAGAGTGGAGGAGAGGATGAGGAAGGTTGAGGTGAGTGGTCTGGGGGAAGATAAAAACTTGGGGGGGCTGCTGACCTTCCGGGTCGGGTGGTCTTGAGGATCGGTGGTGATGGTCGATGGCCGCTGAAGCTGGCGGATATGACCACAGCCGATATCACTCGCCCGGGCACTCAGGTTGGTGAGACTCGCAAAAAATGAGTGCCGGTATCGATTAGGGTTATTTCTTGTGGGTGGGTCACCAATATCCGGTATAAGCATATTCCAGATGTCTATAGTGCGGAGCGGCCCACGCAGCCGCAGCATTGCTGGAGCACCTAACTCCTTGCAGCGCGCACCGGTGCACACTGATACCCGTACACCTAAACGGGTCCCCGACTGACGATCACCCACAGTGATCACCAAACAAACGGAAGGCATGATACTGCACATCGCAAGATGCCCGGAATAGAACTGCCCAGCCTCGGAACTCAAGACGGACAGGAGCCAGCACTGAGCGAAGAAGAACTGAGCCATCTGGCCTCATCACTAGCCCTCGAAGCGAGCCTGGATCCAGGACGAGATGGGGAGACCAGACGACCGGCACCACCCTCCCAAGCAAACCCAGCTCTGTCGCAGGAGGAACAACAACAGCAATCGAGCGACGATCTGATCCCCTCTGGGGACCCTTGTCATCATAACTTGAAGCTCAGGAACGTCTCCGTAGACTTACTCCAACGGATCACCGCCCGCACCGTCCTCCAGTTCATCCTCTCCTTGCTCGACGGCGAAGATCTCGCTCACTTTGTCCGTTCACCGTCTGCCTCTCTGCCAACTACTCTCGCCTACTCCCCCACTCGCCATTCCGTCATCTCGTCCGTCTCCAAAAATCGGGATTCGTTCGCCAGACAGGCTCGCTCTGAAACTCAACTTATCATCGCTCAATCCGTGCGCGTTTTTCTTTTGTATATCTACATATGGACATATACTTCTCTAGATTCTTCTTGATAAGCGATGTACTTACACACAACTCTCTCTGCCTTGTTCATAATTCCTCACACTTGAACATCGAATTTGAACCAACAAAAACAAACAACAGTTATTGATGACCCGGGCCCAGATCCTAGAAGAATTCGAATCCGACATGACAGACCGCAATCCAGAAGAAGACAACCATCAAGATGAAGCAGAAACACCAAAAGAAGAAAACGAGGCAGAAGGAAGGAGAACCACACTGGAGGAAAGATTGAACGAACAAAACGTCTCAAGGATAGTCGAAGACGAATTAAAAGACCTGATCCGACAGAAATTCACAGACTATTCACATCCGTTCATCGATCATCAGGCGGCCTTTGAGCGCTCGATCAGTCTGGTTCAGGCTTCCGAGCTCATCAGTTTCTCCGCTCAAGTCTTGTCTTGGAACAGGCTATTCGATCTTCTCTTTTCTTCTCACTCCGGTTCTAATCCTCCTTGCCAATGATCTTCCTGTAAATTATAAGCATCTCCTTGTGTACATTTGTTGATCTGTCTATTTCTGATTTTCCAGTTTTCTCTGTGAGTGTGGGTTTTGCAGATGAGAATTGTGAAAAAAAAAAAAACGAATCCATTCGTAAATTGCCCCACTGGACAAATTCCCCCGATAACCTTCAAAGTTTGCCAAGTCTTCTATGTCAAAATGACATCCAACCAAAAGAAATCAGCATAAGAGCCCTCCTAGCGGATTGATTGTACTCATGATAATAGACTGATTGCACAAGGTGCCAGAATGAATCCCTTATCAACCTATTATGCTTAGGAATTTTATCTCTAGTGTCCAAACAATTGATTTTCTTATATCTACATGATCGGTGACATTAATTATTCAACAAACATCGACCTTTAATTGAACAAGTACTCAGAAGATGATTTTTTCAAAGAGTTTGAAGAATGGTTTGGAGGACATGTTGGTTCCAATGATCTTCCCAACAAGACCAAGAAGACCTACTAGGATCATGGGATCCAAGTTGAGCCTGGTCATCTGGGAGATTGGGAGGCCCATAAACCGTGTTTTCGATCCCGTCTTGTAAGCTTCGTAAAGTGTAAGCGTCAGTCTTCGGTTCCTCCTCATCTGTAGAATTCAATCCGCGTAAAAGTTCCTGTTTTTTTTCGTCGATTAAGGTAGAAATGGACTGTCAATACTGAAGATTGTGAAAGATCCTATAGGAAAGTGATTTGATCTACCTCTAATTGTTCAGATAATTCAGTAGCAGAATCAAAGACCAAGCCATTTTGACCATGTTTGACCAGCTCCGAAATCCTGCAGCGGACAAATCCGGAAGGATTAGGAGGAAGATATCATTGAATTAGAAAAGGAGAAAACAGAATGAGATAACGAACGAGGAGAAGTTCCTTGCACAGACGGGCAACCGACAGCCGAACATATCGACGACTTTCATGGGCAAATCGAAGCCAGACGAGCTCTGATGAAGACTGATGCCCAGGTCGGCCGCGCCCAACAACATCCGATAATCGTCGGGGTCGTCGAACCAGACCGATTGGCAGACTATCCCCGACGCTTTCCATCCTTCCTCCCGCGATCGTCGCTCGATTATCCTCAGATACTCGTCCCTTAATGGCCCTTTTCCCGTGATCAGACATAGTACTTTCGGGAGCTTTCGGGGGTGAGAAGAGGGTTTGGTTCTTTGGGCGTATAGTGATAGGGCGTCAATTAACAGACTGAAGTCTTCGTCCATCGTCCATGAGGTTGACGACACTATCAGCGCTGGTCTGCTTTTCTTCATCTTCACTCTCTTCTCATCTTCATCATCTTCATATGTCAGTAAGGTCTCGTTGTGCAAGCTTCCTTCAATGAACATCTCTTGTAAAATCGAGTCACAATTGAATGAAGACCGCCTGAAGAACTGCACGATCCCGGAAAATTTCAAGATGTATTTGTAAGCTTAATCTTCTAAGCGAGGCCTCTTTCAGAGCAGAGATTGAAATATCTCCCTCAAGCCAACTCAACTGAATGAATTTCAGACACCGTCAAACGACAGAAAGACTTAGTCGGCCGATCGTAAAATACTTTTTTGATCCCTCTGATCAACGAAACAACGAAAAGGAGGAAAAAAATCCGGGGTATTTTTGTTGGTGAGTCAGTAAAAACTGAGTGGATTGAAATGAGACAAGACTTTTCTTGAAATGATTCAAAAAAAAAAAAAAGGAAACTGACTGTAAATTCCACATTTCAGATAAACTTTGTTTCTCTGCTTGGGTGACGAAGAGATGCAGAGTAGCATGTTTGCCGAACGTGGCTTCTGTCCTATCCAAATCGAAAAACCCAAAAAAGCAAACCAAAATTCAATCGATATCTTTTTTTTGTGTGAATGGACGAAAGATTATACTATAGGGAGAGAGAGAAGATGTACCATTTGGCTAGTCGGACCATCGGATGCCGTTCGGTTCCGAACTTGAGTGCTAGAATCGAATAGGCTGTGTTGTGCCAATCAATGACCAATTTCGAGCCGATCATTAATCTGACCAGTTGGACGATTGGGAGGGTTGGAATGGCTGGCGGATTCTGTTTTTTTTTTTTTGAAGTTAGAAACAAGGAAAGCTTGTCTTAGTTTTTGTTCACATTCCAGCATGCTGCAATCTTAGGGAGAAAAAAACAAAGAAAGGGGTGGGGAAGCGTACTTGAACCATGATGTATGAAGATTGGTTGGCTTTGAGCAGCAGAGCCCACATCAAATTGGCGCTGAGATAGAGGGCCTTCGCCGGGCCGATCACGAGCACGAAGAATATCCTGGGCAAGCGGGAGACGATCCGGTCGGGGAATTCGGCGAGATTGACGAGCTTGATGTTGGGGTGTTGGAGGAGAGCCTTGGGAGGCTTAGAGGCTGATCCAAAAATCCAGAAAATAAATGAACAGAATCTTCTCAGTTTTCGATTTCTATACTCCGGCACCGATACGTTTGAGGGTATTATGGTGTATATAAAGAACTCTAAAAAGGATGAAGGACGGCCGACCTGTGTAGGCAAAGATGGACACGTACCATTGCTGGTCTGCAAACGAAAGCGCGTGTCGAATGATCCGTGGACTTCGGGCTATGTCGCCCAACACGACGATCGCGATCGACTCTTTCCTCCGGGCTGTCGTTCTCCATCCATGGATCTTGTGGACGAGTAGGATGGTGATCGTGGATAGGAGGATGAGGATGGATGTCTGACTGGTCTGGATGAGGCTGAACATCGTGCTCGTTCTCGTTTCCTGAATAATTATTTCAAGAAAAGGCTCTGGAACTTCACAATCTCATCTGTTTGAGCTGAGTGTGTCTCGGTGGGTACCCCCGGGGTCAGACAAATCGGGGATTTGGGAAGAATTAGGCCAGTTCCGAGCATAACAACGCCTCTCGAGTGAGAGCCCCAAAGGGGCAGCCCCGCAGGGTCTCTGTCTCACAGAGAGGCATACCCCCAACGGTCGAATTTCGGTGTGGATCCCGGCATTTCTTAGGCCCCAGAATAGTCTACTTTCCACTCAAATCAAATTCCCCACGCGAAAAATTAAGATATTTTTACTGGGAGTGATGGACCATGGAGGCTGGCTTCTGGCGCATCCATCGATGGCTCACTCATGCATCAGTCCCTCATGATGAAGACTGGCCGCTGTCTCTAAAAAGGTCTTTGATCGGTTTGACCATCTGTTAAGTATGCACTCACGGTGGCATTAGGCACTCATACAATCTTGTATCCTGCTTGTACTTAGTGAAACACATGAAATACCGGAATACAAGACTGTACACATTATCATCACTTCAAAAATACAACAGCCATCTTATAATGGAAATAACCAAATAACAGACAGCCCTGTCCGATTATTTGGTCCATCAGTGGACTTTCATGATCATGTTTGATAGACTATCAGATTTCTTGTTGAGGACAAATCACCCTTCGTTCCCCTCAACCAGCTGCACATCTCAACATGCTCCGCTGTCTGGCTGCACCGGCTATTTCCGACCCCCAAGGGACTGGGATCCGAATCGGACTGCTGAAGAAGATTGAGATGAAGGGCGACGATGCAATGATGGCCGCTATTGGCAAGTCGGCTTTCGATCGTTACGGTCAACACGCGAGGGAGCAACAGGTTACGACAGCTTTCCACTTGGCACGCGGGAAAAATACGTTCTTACTCGCGGGGACTGGTTTTGGGAAATCTAGGATACCTGAGATATACCACACTCTCTTACCCAAATCAGCCAATGGGGTGATACTTGTATTGAACCCACTGGATGCACTAGGTGACAACCAGGTGCTGGAAAAGAAGAAAGCCGGGTTCTCAGCAATCAACCTCACCAAATTGACATTCAATGTGGAAGAAGCAAACAATGTAGTCAATGGGAATTACAATTTCGTGTACCTCAGCCCCGAGATTTTCCTGAACTCTCGCCTGTGGGATCAGGTCTACTTCTGCCCAAACTTTCAAAACCGCCTGGCTTTGGTCGTGATCGATGAAGCTCATATCATATATCAATGGGGTCTCGTCGAATCTTCTAGCGGGAAGGACAAAGCGGTTGCACTTGGCCGCATTGAAGACATAGCAATTTTCAGGCCTTGTTATGGGAAGATGGGTGGTCGGCTTCTGACTCGTAATGGCAAACCGATCTTATTGATGTCCGCTACTTGCCGGCCGATTGCCGTGGAAGCAATCAAAAAGAGCTTGAAATTCGATGACCATAATGTGTGTGTGGTGAGGGCGGAACTCACCAGACCGGAGATTCGCATCGTTCAGGTCCCAATAACGTCTTCAATGGCCGCTTGCACCGAGTTGGTTCATTGGTTTGCACTCCAATTGGACGTGCCGAATGAAAAGGTTGTTCCGACTTTGATATATAGTTCTACTAGAAACCGGACCTTGCAGGTGATGAAGGTTGTTGACGATGCTCGCGGGACACCTGGAAGTTCAATGAGGCCAAATGCGATGCTGGTCCGGCGATTCCACTCGTGCACTGGCGAGAAAGATAAATTGAGGGTCGTGGAGGATTTCGCTGCGGGGATATTTCCGATGATATCATGTACGATGGCTCTTGGGATGGGTCAAAACTGGTCTCGAGTGCGTCGGGTGTTCCAGTTGGGGCGTGGTGATCCATCAGCAATATGTCAGATGGTTGGACGGGCAGGGCGAGATGGCCGACCGGGTTTAGCAATATTGTTTGTGGAGAAGACACGGAAGGGGGGGAAGAATAAAGTGGCAGCGTTCGACTGGTCAAGGAAGGCTGGGGAGAATGACCGAATGGACGCCTTGGCGGTAACACCTGTGTGTCTGAGGATAGCTTTTGCTATTGATAATGCGTGAGTGTTTGATTTTATCATGGTTGTGAGGTGGTATGTTGATTCAGGATACTGACACTGATCGGGTGTGTTGCTCAGACTTGGTTACATACCAGTATCTATCAACGATCCATCGTACATACGAGAACAAGAACGGGAGAAAAAGGAGGGATTTTGTATTTGCAGTTGTTCTAATTGTAGGCCCGATATGGCTGCCGGTTTGATTAACAACATGAAAGAGATGACGGTAGACAACTTTGAAGATTTCATTACTCGCGAATGGACCACAGAAGAGATGAAGAACATGAGAAAACGAAAACGAGTAGACAACGAGACAATCACAAGTGTTAAACATATCAAACTCATGCCTGATCAGCGTCTTGTGTTATCAGAGGTTCTACGGAACGCCTTTGACCAATTGTTCGCCCGCACTTACAGAAACGAAATCCTTTTCGGTCCGGATGATCTTTTTCGTCACGAACATATCACGACATTAATTGACAACTTGGGGTACTTTCAAAACTGTGACCGAATTGCGAAAGCTCATCGGCGGCGAAGTTATAGCAGGACAGATGGAAATGTTGTTGGAGGCCGTTGACGGTTATATCAAGGGCCCGCTGGCTGAAGATACACAACGGGGGATTGATCTTGCGCGGGCTGAGGAAGAGAGGCTGATTTCAATATCAAAGGAAGAAGCGGAGGCTCAGGCTCGTGATGAGGAAGTTCAGAGGGAGGTGGCACGGTTGGAATTCCAGAGGATTGAAGAACAAAGGCTGTTGGATTTGGCGAAACGATCGGCGAGGGAAGCTGCTGAGAAAGCATGGAAGGAGGAACAGGCTGAACACATGGCCATGCTGGTGCGCCGGGCCGGTGAGGATGCCGAGAGGCGGGGAGTGAAAAGTATACATCGGGGACGTTGATGGGTGAATTCAGATGTAAGTTCAATCTTCATCCATTGAATATTGGCTGGGGGAACCGGATCGAATGGATGGTGATTTGTTTGGTTCTCCTTCGGGTTCAGCTTGATCCTCGGGATCGCTAGGATAAGATTCACACTGCTCATCAAATGGGAGATGCATGGTAAACCGACCTAGTTCATTCGCTTTGGTGGAAATCTCTTCCTGTAACAAAATAAGACCCTGAATGTACGTATTCTTGATTTCGACTGGGGCAGGAGCGCCGGAACTGGAGTTGATGGTGAGGATGCCATTCGATTGGGCCATCTGTTGAAATCTTTCGAGTCCTCGGAGGGTGAGCAACGGTTTATGGCTCTGTTGGATATGTTTAGCTCCACTGTCCAATCGCAAAGAATCAAACATAGTCCGCAACTGTTTGTATATGCAATAATCAGAACCCTCTGGGAAATTACAGATGAGCAACCAACGACTTACAGTAGGAATGTTTGACGAGAATAAGGCTTGCAGGCGATCAATCTGAGTCCCTATGCCGCCTTGTGTGTAGAAATATTTGAGCCAGTAGTTATGAGTCTCCAACAGGAAGTCTTTCGCAACGAAGTGGTTAGGTCGACCGCTTGGAGACACCAAAATGCTGTGGCGAATCAGCTTGCCCAAAGACGGTGGGAGTATCTTGGTGAGCAAGAGGATGAGCCTGGGCAGGTAAGCTGAATAATGAGTGAGTCCGGGAAGCGATTGGGTCATGATCGACCACATCTTCCACACATTTATCAACCGTCCTATATCACCTCTTTTCATGGCTCTGTTTGCCTCTATGACCGTTGAGAAGTCTTGGAGTCGTGTGAGCAGATTGCTCAACTTGGGGAATCCTCGCGCCGCCCGTCGGGCCTCATGTGAGAAGAATCGGTCATAGCACTTGTCCACCATATCATTCCATTTGGCCGTTGGAATGATAGGTAACTCCTCTTGGATGACAGTGTCATGATGACCCATCACATCCCTACAACCCAACGCGGTCAGAAGACATAATCAATATACTCTAGGGAGTAAGAATAAACGTACCTAAGGCAGTACCACAATGTTGCTTCATGTACTTGTTCCATGTACTGCAGCATTTTTGTGAAATCTTTCTTCTGCGCAACCTTTTCCGGTGGTATCCCAAGTGCCTCCAAGTATCTCCACACTCCTAGGTTGTCCATCGAACCTGAGTTCCCAAAGTGATAGGTCAGTATGGTGTGCGCGATATTCCACAATGTATGAGCCGCCCCCAAAGTGAAAGAGATGTTGTTGAGGCTGTGATCGCAGTGTTCACTAGGGGACCGGAGTACTCGGATAGCGTTAAATATCTGCGCCGTCCCAAGGTCCCCATCAATAAGCTGTAATCGACCAAAGAAGTCAGCGGGATCAAGCCGTGTCTGGTGCTGTAGGGCATCCATGACCTGTCCGATTCCCTCGGCCGAGTTGTCAGACTCGTTCATGAGCTTCAGCATGTGGATTTCGGGCTTCTTATGACTGATCAGCTCGACTTTGGGTGGGTGCAACGGGTGTCTGCCTTTAGGATGAGAAGGCCGGGCAACATACTTGTACATAACTTGCGCGATCTGGCTCTTCACCACTAGCTTGTGATGCTCCTGGTCGTCATCGTTTGGCAGAAAAAAATTTGGATCAATCACCAAGGAGCTGACATTTTTGAGGGCATTGTGGTAGGCACTCAATGTGAGATTGTTCGGGTTGAGGGAATTCATTAGGTCGCTGCTGGGTATATGTATGTATCCCCAGGTCCCATGGAACATCCGATTCTGTTTGCCTACAGTAGCGATCTGAATCCTCTCTTCCATGTCCAAGTTGTCGATACAAAGGATCGGAGCCACATCAGTTGAAATAGCCATGCACGATGCAATCTTATCCTGTGCTTCACAGGCCAATGATCGTAGCGCGTGAACAGCCGTTTTTCGATGCGAGGTTAAACCCAAGTAGTGAAGATACTCGTTGACCGTCTCCGAAACCCCACACGCATAGAATCGAATGGAATTCTCCAGTTGTAATCCATTATGGCGGCGATTACAAGCAAAGCTAAGCATTGAACATATCACCGAAGCGATCTAAGATCCATTGGCCATCAGGGTCCCTCATACATACAAGTCTTATTCAGGAAAGTATTAAATACAAACAGGACTGGACTCACGTGACATCTTTGTTTCTTTCTCGCATCGGGTCCATTACCATCCGTTGAGTAAACAAACCCGCCGTAATCAGCCATCACATCCTCTAATGACCCTGAGCACGAGTTCAAGGACACCTCGGGTTCCATTTCGTCCACCCCATTGGCTAATTCCGTTCGGCTGGTCCCAGTAATGACTGGGTCGTTATTCCCACGGAGGTCATCGGGTGCATCGCAAGGTTCGTTCATGTCATCCGTATTATTACCCCCGAGGTTGTCAGGTCCATCGCAAACTTCATTAGTGTCGCCATCCTCTTCGTCCGCACGAGATATGATTCCATGGATGATGTTGTACAGCAAGGGCCTTTCAATGGTCGTAAGTTTGAGATTACGAGCATGCTTCGCATCAGGACCGAAAAAATCCCGCTTCACCAATCGAGAGCTCATGAATGAGCCTGTCGTCCGTGAAGACATCTCCTGCCGACATAATAAGACGGCCTGCAATGTACAATGCGTGTAAATACCTGAGTTTGAAAGTCTTAAAAGTGGAAAAGATACTCACCTCGGCCTGAATAAAATCGACCCACCGATGACGCGCGGCATCTTTCTTGCGGAAGATCTTACCTATTTCCGAAACCAATTCAATTGTCGAATTGGATCCATAAATTGTTCCCCAGGTTCGTCGCCGGTAGTTCAATTCCATGTGATCTTTCTTGAGAAAACCCGTGATAAATTCCTTAGGTGTCATCTTGATCTTGGTTAAGTGGGCGCATATATCAAGAATTTTTTGTTGGTCCGACATCTTTGGTGCATTTGGAAAGTCAAGGGGATCTGGTAAGCCAATCCCAGTTGTGTCAGGTGCATCTCGTGGGTAACTCATTTGGGATTTTGAAAGGGTCGATTAGAACAGTTGATGATAGGAGACCGTACCGGATGTGATATCTCTTTTTGCACTTGGTGATGTTGTGTCATATGCAAATCCCTTCACCCGAACATTTGGAAGATTATTTATCTTTGTCATGCATGTATATGCACTTGGTAGTGCCACAGTATGTCTTCATGCACTTAACATGAAGGCCATGCACTTATGAAGAATATATGGATATATCAATTAGTCCAAAATGGAAAAGACCGTGAACTTACATCCCCTGCAGATGACTGAAAAAAATTCAGTCATAATAAGGGGTATGTTATCTGCAAGGCCAGATGCCCAGCTTTGATCTGGCCAAAGGGCGGGCCATTTGGCCCGCAGGATGATGATGCGTGGTGGTGTCAAAGTGTGACACCAGCCAAAAATGCAAATGGCGTGCTCAGGATCCATGCCAAATTGGGTTGATTATTCCCAAGTCCCTCCTTCGGAGGCTCGCGCTTCGCGCGAGGGGCGCTGCCCCGCCTCCCAGAAGGTGGGACTGATTAAGTTCGGGCCAGTTCACGTTGCGGCTCGTTCACAAATAAAATTTCTGTGACGAGCAACGCTTAACGACATCTCGCTTCTAACTTAACCCAAGTCCCTCGATCGGAGGGCCTGTACCAGGCGGGCGCAAGCGCCCCTCCGAAGGAGGGACTTGCGAGCAATGTCAGAATTTGCGCGTGGAAGCTGGGGGCAGTTAGTAGGGAAAAACTTTGCCCTGACATTTTCCCTGTCTTCCAACTGGAAATTGCTTCTGCCGTTTGGACTAGTGCAAACAGCTCCATTGTGGGGATTTTTTGGGTACACTCACTTGGCCAGGGGCCCTCAGGTCTTGGCTCAGGATGTAAAACGGGGTCGGGTTCGGGCCCAAAAACAGTGCCCGAACCCGACCCGACACTTATGTCGGGTTGGGTCGGGTCGGGTCAAACTTGAATATATGCTGCCCAGACCCAAACCCGTCTTGGGACTTTTCGGGTTTGGGTCGGCAGCTTGCATGTCGGGCTCGGGCCGACCCGAGTATTTTAGCCTTTGTAGAGCAATTATGACAAAAACTTACCTGCCCGACTATCAAAACACCTGCCCGAACCCGACCCGCCAAGCTTCCGGGTCGGGTTCGGGTCATGTGATTTTCTCACAAAGTCTGCCCAAACCCGACCCATGACCCGTCGGGTCTCGGGTCGGCTTCGGGTCGACCCGACCCATTTACACCCTGAGTCTTGGCAAGACCTGCCTCCAAAAAAGGCCATTTGGCCTTGAGGATGATGAAGCATCTCAGGATTCTTCTTCAAGATTCTTATGTATGCTGTCATACAATGCATACTATGACTTATGCGCTTTTGTTCCCTGTATATGGGACATACTTCCTGTACTGGCCTCTACAAAATCAACTAGACACTTCATGTGCCATCTGCACAAGACATACTATGTCTTGTACCACTTGTTATGGGATAAGCTGAATTTCAGCTTGATTTGCAGTCCTCACTTTCCATCCAAAGGATGGATAAGTGTTAGCAACCAAGATTACAAAAAAAATATAGGACGATAGGTCATATGGTCACGTATGTGACAAAGTTAGCCGCATCATTTTTGGTTGGACCCCCCCAAGAGTAATGGACAGGATAGGGGGAATTACCAA